GTAACGATAACCCTATATGCAAAACAGAAAAAGAGACTCAGATGTATAGAACAGACTTGTGGACTCTGGGAGAAGGCGAGGGTGGGATGTTTCAAGAGAACAGCATTGAAACATGTATATTATCTAGGGTGAAACAGATCACCAGCCCAGGTTGGGTGCATGAGACAAGTGCTCGGGCCTGGTGCACTGGGAAGACCCAGAGGGATCGGGTGGAGAGGGAGGTGGGAGGGGGGACCGGGATGGGGAATACATGTAAATCCATGGCTAATTCATTTCAATGTATGACAAAAACCACTGCAATGTTGTAAAGTAATTAGCCTCCAACTAATAAAAATAAATGGAAAAATAAAATAAAATAAAATGTTGTGTTAATTTCTGCTGTACACCAAAGTGATCAGGTGTACATATACATACATGTGCATGCTCAGTCACTTCAGTCATGCCGGACTCTTTGAGACCCAATGGACTGTATCCTGCCAAGCTCCTCTGTCCATGGGGAATCTCCAGGCAAGAATGCTGCCATGTCCTCTTCCAGGGGATCTTCCCGACCCAGGGATTGAACCCAAGTTTCTTGTGTCTCCTGCATTGGCAGGTGGATTCTTTACCACTAGAACGACCTGGGAAGCCCACATATACATACACCCACTCCTTTTTTAGATTCTTTCCCCATATAGGTCATTACAGAATATTGAGAAGAGTTCCCTGTGCTTTACAGGAGATCCTTATTAGTTATATTTAATCTAAACAGTAGTATGTGTATGTCAACCCAGTCTCCCAATTTATCCCTCCCCTGCCTCCCCCCTGGTAACCATGTTTGTTTTCTATATCTGTGACTCCGTCTCAAACACAAATTAGCATGTGGTCAATTGCATCCATCTTTTCATCGTGGTTAACACTTTTTTGATGTTTTCTTTAAGGGTTCTTTTCCCCACCTTGAAGTCAGAAAGATATTAATCTATATTTTCTTCCAACAGTATTGAAGTTGTGCTTTTGACATGTAAACACTTAATTCATCTAGAGCTGATTCTTGTTTTTAGGGTTTTTTAGGTTTTTGTTTGTTTGTTTGTTTGTTTTTTAGATTTTTGGCCACTCCGCAAGGCATGTGGGATCTTAGTTCCCCAATCGCAGACTGAACCTGCGTCCCCTGCAGTGGAATCCCAAGTTTTAACCACTGGACCACCAGGGAAGTCCCTAGAGCTGATTCTCGAGTCCACTGTAAGGCAGAGATTCAGTGGACTTCTCACATGTGTCACCTGCTCCACACGGTCCCTCCCCTTCCCTGGTCTGCCGGCTTCCACTGTCACATACCAGAGTCCCACATATGCCTTCTCCTGTTTCCAGGCTCTCTTTTCCATTCCTTTGGTCAGTTTGTTTATCCCAGTGACAAATCTCCAAACACGTGGGGATTTTTAAACTACATTTTTTGTTATTACTAGCTCCACTTCATCAAGCTCAAAGAATAGGGTCTAATAGCAATTCTTTGCAAATTTTTTTTTTTGAAGCTTGCTTTCTAATCTAGTCTACTGTCAGTTTTTAAAAATAGCCCTTAAGTGCTTAAGGAGAATCTGATTATGGGAGACAAAATTCAATTAATGTCCATTACATCAAATCTGTTTCTTATATATTCAGATCTTCTGTTTCTTGTCTAGTTTGTTCAGCTTTGCCATCTGCAATTAAGAGGAGCATCTGAGGGACTTCCCTGATGGTCCAGTGGCTAAGACTCCGTATTCCCAATGCCGGGGATCCCAGTTCGATCCCTGGTTAGGGAATTAGATCCCACATGCTCCAACTAAGACCCAACACAGCCAAATAAAATAATAATTTTTTTTTTAATAAAAGAGAGAGAGAAGCATTTGAAACATCCCATGTTGCTGGAGGATTTGTCAGCTTCTCCCTAGTTAATCAATTTTTAAAAGTCAGATTGGTTGAAGTAAACTTGCAGATGATAAAATTCACTTTTTACATGATATGGATATCCACAACTACTGTCATGAGGGAAGGGCAAAGGCTGTGGAGCCGAGAGAAGGCCCCATCCTAGCTTTTGAGGTAGGCGATAGATGGGGCCCCTGGGCTGGACAGCTGGTGTTTGTCAAGTGGAGTAAAACTGAAGGTTTGTTCTCACCTAGACACTCCAAGGACAAAGCTAGTTGCAAAAGCTGAGCTCTGCTAAAGTAAAGAGATAAGCTGCCTGCTCCTGAGGTCAGGAAAACCTTCCTATCTGCACACGTGCATGTATGTAATGTCCAGGATGGACATTGGGGAGCAAGGAGCAGGAAGGCTCCTTGGGGGTCAAAAAGGGAAGGGGCACCCTCCATAATAAGCATGGAATGCACCCACAGGCCTCTGCTGTAGGATCCATCTTAGCAAATAGTTGCACATGCATCTTGGGGAGGGTGCTAGGACCAGTCAGGTATAAAGAAAAAATGAGATAACTGGCCAAATGTAAACAAAAACCCAGAGGGACTGTCCTATAGAAGTGATCTGAATCGCCTCTTTACCACGCCCCATTCAGGACGCCAGCACTCCTCTCCAGGTATGTATCTCTGCCTGGCTTCTGTCTTAAATAAACAAACTGCTTCTGTGTGCATTCCCACACCTTATGCTGTGTCTTGAATAATAAACTTTGTACCTGTTTTTACAGTTTTTGTCTCCTTGAAACATTCTTGCTTTCAAATGGGAGGAAAGAGCCAGGTCACTTTGCTTCTCACCTCCACCCCTGGGGACTAGGATTCCTGGTTTTCATCCAGGGTTACCCAGGTTCGATTCCTGGACAGGGAACTAAGATCTCTCTTCAGGACCGCTCACTGCTATCTCTCCAAAATCAGCTTTACCGGTCAAGAGCAGCTTCCTGGTCCAGACAGAGAAATCAGGAGAGGCTTCCAGACTGAGGTCATTAGGGTGTGTTGTCATCTTTCTGCAAATGAAAGACCTGAGGGACAGTGTTGCTGGAAGCTTGTACAAGGCCTGGAGGTGAGAAAGGACCTGTTCAGAGAACGTGAAGTGGTTGAGTATGGCAGGAACAAGGAGGACAAGGAAGAAGTGGTGGAAGAAGGGTGGGAGATGTGAGCGTAAGTCAGACCCCCAGGGCCCTTCGAGCTCCAATGGGAAGTTTGACTACGAGGAGGCGAAGGGTATGGAGGGGTGTCAGCAGAGAACATGGGCAGCTTACAGGATGAAAAAATTCCCTCTGCTTCGGAGTAAAGCTCAGACTGGGAGTGGGAAGCAGGGAGGGCTGTGGAGAGGAGGATGGAGGCCAGGTCTGGACCACGGTTGATGGGAGGGGCACCAGCAGGCAGAGCCCTTGAGCATCCTGGTGGCAACCTTGATTGACAAGGGGAGCCTGGGGAGAGAAGCCCTGAGTGGAGGTCAGGACTCACCCAGGGGGCACACAGTGGATCGATGTGAAGGGTAAAGACTGCACGCCCCAGACCCCCGCGCCAATGCTCCTTCCTAACAACATAAACTAAGCCTGTGTGCCCCACTGCTGAGTCCCCATGCAATAACTAACTACTGAAGCCCAAGAGCTCTAGATCCCGTGCTCCGCAGCAAAGGTCACCACAGTGAGAAGCCCACGCACCACAACTAGCACTAGTGCATTGCAAATAGTGTGCACAGTAACGAAGATCCAGAGCAGCCAAAAAGTATATTAAAAAAAAAAAGTGTGTTGCCAGGCTTAGCAAAAGAACTAAAGAAAAAATAAGCAGATGGAGATCAATAGGATGAAATTTGAATTTTAGATTAACAGTGAACTTTTTCTGTATGTCCCCCAAATCAAGCATCTTGTGTTTTATTGGGCAACCCTCATTCACCACTCCTCCCCGCATACACACTATGCCTTTCTGAAAAACAGCAGCAAAGCATCACAGAAACTGCTAGTCTGTGGCCTTCCTGGCATCGACTTGGCATCCCTCACTAGGTGCCTCCTCGGAGTCTCTGGCCCTGGGCAGTGGCCCTGCCCAGACACCACCCACTCCATCTTCCTAAGTCTGGAAGCCCCTGAGAGCTGGGCCTGGTGTGGAGTCCGGGCAAGGCCAGGACCCTGCTGGGAGTGAGAGGCGGACACAGAGGCTCCCTCATCCCTGCCCCCACACCCAGCTGGGGCATTTCCGGGAAGTGGTCCCTACCCAGAGCCTGAACCCCAACCGGGCTCAGGGCCACATGCCTGGGGCTGTTTCCTAGAATTACTAGCCCCATTCTGTGTCACTGTGGCCACATCCTCCGCTGGGCAGCCCAGGCTTGGTAGGATCTAACAGGCCAGGTCCGGGCTGGGGTGGGGATGGGGGAGGGAGCTCCCAGGCAAGGCCCTGCTTTACTGGTCTGAGGAGTCAGCCTGGGACACCGCTCCCTGGAGCTGCCCAAGAGAGGGGCCAGAGATTCCCATGATCCTCGGCACCCTCATTGGAATGGGGGCCCATCCCAAGGCCTGGGGAGCCTGGTACAAGCCAGGGCTGGCCAAACCAGGGGAGCTCGGATGGGGGCTCATATCACCCTGACAGAGGTAGGGGGACACTCTGCCTGGAGTCAGAGTGGGAAAGAGATCTTCTCTGTGGGAAAACTGGAGAGATTTCATGGGAGACACGATAACTGAGCCGCTGAGAATTCACCAGATCAGAGAATTGGGGAACGGAGGGGTAGGGTGATCGGTGGCAATGGCCTGGAGGCTGTACCACATGAAGAATGCTCCTAAAATGACCAAAGGCCAGCAAGGCTGGGGCAGAGGCAGCTCTGGGGAAAGTGGCAAAGCCAAGGGACACAGAATGTGCCCAGAGAGGAGCTGGACCTGTGAGGACGAGCAGACCTGGACCTTAGGTGGATTGGCCTCTGAAACTCAGGTGGCACTGCTAACAATAATAACAAAATATGAATGATGGCAGTAAGCATTTACTGAGCACTTACTTATCCTCTGCTAAGCCTCTTTATATGGGTTATTTTATTTAACCTTCTAAGTAGGTGTTACTATTACCCCTATCTTACAGAAGGGAAAACTCGGGCACAGACAGATGGAATGGTTTGTCCATGGTCACACAGCCAACAAATGACAGGCCTGGCACTTGAGCCCAGGCCGTCTAGCCCTGGAATTAAACCACTCGCCACCTCATGAAAGGCTATTCATATAAGAAATGAACAGAGGGCAGAGGGTCCCCCTGGGAGAAAAGGGATCTGGCTCCAATTCCCACCCTGTGATGTTCAAAGTCATCAAAATCTGTCTGATGGCCTGGAGCCAGTCCCTGAGAACTATCCCAGCCCACTGCTCTAGTGCAAGATGCCCAGAGCACAAGACACCGAGAGCCAGAGCGGGCGGCTGTGTTGGGAAAGAGAAATGGCCATGTAGGCAGGGTGGCATTCCCCCTGCTGGTCACTCAGCACGCACAGTCCTGGAGGCAGGGCCTCTCCATCTGGTTTGTCCTGTCCACAGACAAGCGACCACAGCATCTTCAGACGTGGTTTTGGACCCAATGGCTTCCGATGTGGGCCAACATCGCCCCCTGGTGGGAAGTCTGGGAAATGCGCTGGCTTCAGGAGTGGTCTACTCACTCGATCTGCTAGGACAGGTCAAGGGCAATGGTGATTCTCTACAACAGTGATGGCTAACATAGCAAATAAGAAGAAAACAAGAATGTGCAGCATGACAAAAGACTTGCAGAATTTATACCAATTTATAAATACTGTAGGTGCCTCCCAGCTCCAAGAGAACAGACCAACAAATCTGAGATTTAGAACACACATCCTCACACCTTATCAGGGGAAATTCAAACCCGCCCAGTCATCAAAATGCCTGGCCACTGGAGCTCAGATGGAGGAGAATGAGGCACTCCCCTCCCACCTCCAGGAAGTCCTATGGCCTCAGTCACTAGTCTAAATGGCCTATAGGGGTCTGGGGAGCCCTGGAGGAGGAGCCTCTGGGAAGGACAGGATTTTCTGATCTTTGGGAAAGGTGGGCTTGGAGTTAGTCCTCATAATCTGGGAGCAAAAGGAAAAGAAACTTTGGACACAGGCTGATGAGGTCTCAGACACTAGGTGGGTCTCTAAGCACTGGGTTGGGGACCCCCGGCCTGGGATGACCCTCTCCGCAAGGAAGGAAGCAGGGCCCAGCAGGCCTTTCCAGGACAGGCTGGTCAAGACCCTGCCCCCAGCTGCCCTCGGCCAGCTGCCCCCTCCCACTATGACCTCTTCCTCCCTGGTCTCATTCAATCTGCATAGAGCTCTGGGATAGGGCAAGACCAGAGCCATCTGTCCCAATGTCACAGATGGTCAGTGAGGGTCAGTGAGAAATGACAGGTCCAAGGTCAGACAGTGAGACTCAGAGCCAGAAGCTGAAACATGACCTTTTGACTCCGCAACCAGTGCTCTGGTCACAGGCTTGGCCAGCTGGGCCCAGGCACCAGGGATGAGTTGGCTGCCCCCAGGTGGGGTTGACCTGGCATTCGGAGCATAATGCCAGAGGAGGTAGAGCAACATCCTGCCCTCTGGGCCTGGGGAAGCCATGGAGGTGGAAAAGGCCCCCAGGAGGTGACAGTGGCCTCTGGCCTCCAGCAGCTGCCTGCCATCTTCTCTTCTGCAGGCACCCAGAGAGGCTGGGAGCTCCGAGCCAGAAAGTCCAGGTAGTCCAGACTACTGCACCATCTGGGAGGAGGTGAACACCTCCATCTCTGCCTCGGCCTCTGCCTCTGAGCGGCACCTCTGAGAGCAGAACCACAGGAAGAGGAAGAAACCTGCAAGCAAAAAACTGATCAGTGGGAGCGTCACGGAGCAACATGGGGCCTCCCCCCCAATCCAGGCACCTTCTGGGTCGGGGTGAGTTGGGCCTTCCTGAGGCCCAGGAGTAATTCTCAGAAGCCTCACTGTAGGAAGTCAAAAGGGATGGAGTGTAGGAGCTGGAGGACCAGCCTGCACAAGCCCATAGGTTGCCTTTGTGCAAATTACAAGGTGGCGCCCCCTTCCTGTGGGCTGGTGTAGCCCCAAACCAGACTGTCAGGGGCCAAATTTCAGCCCCCTTGACCTGGAGCCCTTGAGCAGTAGACAGTACCTGCTGTCCACGATCCACCACCCCCCCAAGGGTTTCCTCCACGCCATCCACAGGCCCTACCGTAGAGCGAGTTGAAGATGGTGAAGAGGAAGAGCTGGGGCAGCAGGAAGACGCTGAAGGAGAAGAAGGCCAAGGCCCAGGTGGTGCCCAGCAGCACCGTGAGGCCCAGCACGGTGACGGTGTCCCGGCAGGCCCGGGCGCCCGGCGCCTTCTCCCGCGCCCGCAGCTTGTTGAGGACCCTCAGCGCCCAGGCCAGCACCACCAGGTTGAAAAGGGACGTGAGGCCACCATAGCCCATGACCAGGACACGGTGCACCCAGGAGTTCTGCACCCAGCATCTGCAGAGGAGGGGTAAGCGCCGGGATGGGTATGGCTCCCAAGGCCCGAGGCAGGAAGCCACGGTCTCCTAGGCCTCGGGACTGTCTCCTGAATCCTGTCCCCATCATTTCTTACCTGACCGCACACATGGCAAAATCCTGAACCTGGCTTTCCAGCCAGGCTACAGGGGGTGGGGGTGGGGGACTGGGTAAAAAATGGGTGAAGTGGGTCAAAGGTACAAACTTCCATTTATAAAATAAATAAGTCTTGGGGATCTAATGTACAGTATGATGACTACCATTAATAATACTGCATTGCAGGGGAATTCCCTGGCGGTCCAGCCATTAAGGGTCTTTCTTGGAAAAGACCCTGATGCTAGGAAAGATTGAGGGCAGAAGGAGAAGGGGGTGACAGAGGATGAGACGGTTGAGTGGCATCATTGACTCAATGGACATGAGTCTGAGCAAACTCCCAGAGATAGTGAAGGACAGGGAAGCCTGGCATGCCACAGTCCATGGGGTCACAAAGAGTCGGACATGACTGAGCAACTGAACAACAATAACCACCAGAGGTTAAGACGCCATGCTTCCACTGCAGGGAGCACAGGTTCAATCCCTGGTCCATGAACTAAGATCCTACGTGCTGTGAAGTGCGGCCAAAAAGTTTAAAATAAAATAAAATTAAAATAAATAATAATACTGCATTGCATATTTGAAAGTTGCTAAGAGAGTAGAGTTCTCATCACAAGAAAAATAAATTCTATAACTATGTATGGTGATGGATGTTAACTACACGTATTACAATGGTCATTTTGCAATATATATATAAATATCAAATCATTATGCTGTGTACCTGTAATTAATATAGTGTTATACGTCAAGTGTTATCTGGGCTTCCCTGATAGCTCAGTTGGTAAAGAATCTGCCTGCAATGCAGGAGACTCCGGTTCGATTCCTGGGTCAGGAAGATCCACTGGAGAAGGGATAGGCTACCTACTCCAGTATTCTTGGGCTTCCCTTGTAGTTCAGCTGGTAAAGAATCCACCCGCGTGCGGGAGACCTGGGTTTGATCCCTGGGTTGGGAAGATCCCCTGGCGAAGGGAAAGACTAACCACTCCAGTATTCTGGCCTGGAGAATTACATGGACTTTATAGTCCATGGTTGTAGCAGAGTTGGACACAACTGAGTGACTTTCACTTTCACTATATGTCAATCATACTTCAACTTAAAAAATAAAACATGTAAAAAGATTTTGTAAAGAATACATACATATGTAGTAAGGGTTTTTTAAAGGCAAGTGAATGAAAGTCACAGAATCCAGGGTGAGAGGAGATAGGGAGACGTGAGGAAGACTCAGGAGAAGCCAGTTCTTAGTGGGCTGGGAGGTGGGGTGCTCACTAACACCTCTGCATGGACCCACTTCCTGTCCTATGGAAGTGTCACTTCAGTTATTTCACCCGTGTCAGCAAATTATATGATAAAAACATACATTCAAAGAGTCCTAAGTCACACTTCCTCAGAGAAACCACCCGACCCTCACAGTGAGAAGAATTAACCTCAACTCAGCCCCACTCTCAAAAGTCATCTCCAACACCACAGTTCAAAAGCATCAATTCTTTGGCACTCAACTTTCTTTTTTTTGAACTGTGGTGTTGGAGAAGACTCTTGAGAGTCCCTTGGACTGCAAGGAGATCCAACCAGTCTATCCTAAAGGAAATCAGTCCTGAATATTCATTGGAAGGACTGATGCTGAAGCTCCAATACTTTGGCCACCTGATGTGAAGAACTGACTCATTGGAAAAGACCCCGAAGCTGTGAACAAATGAAGGCAGGAGAAGGGACAACAGAGGATGAGACGGTTGGATGGCATCACCGACATGATGGACATGAGTTTGAGTCCACTCCAGGAGTTGGTGATGGACAGGGAGGCCTGGTGTGCTGCAGTCCATGGGACCACAAAGAGTCGGACACGACTGAGCGACTGAACTGAATTGAACAGCTCCACCCGGTGCCCAGAACCCTCACTTCCCAGAGGCCGGGGTGGGCAGAGGTTGGGAACTAGGGAGTTAGCCTGCCTGTGACCAAGTCCCACCTCTGCCTGCCCCCACTGGGTCTCCTTGGGCAGGGCTCCTCAGCGGCCTGTGCCTCGGTTTCCCTGACAGTGAACAAGGGCTGACAATAGGACCCGCTCCCGCTGTGAGGATCAGTCAGCCCTCAGCAGGCCTGAGCTGATCTCAGTCAGGAGAGGGGAAAAGGCCACACGGCCATCTGCTGGTGATGGGTCTACAGGGGGTTATTAAGCTGTTCCTTCTATGTCGCCTGTTAGAAACACTTCATCACAAGGGAAAGATTAATGTCCTAGGGCAAAGGAAGGAGGGGCAGAGTCTGTCCCTCAGAGCCCCCCAGAGACCCCCTCTCCCCCGCACACACACGCTGTGCCCGGCCCCTGGGGTGTTCCAACCCCCACAACACTCTCTTCTCGGGCCAGGAGCGTTTGGGGGCTGGCAGTGCCATCCTACGCACAGGTCGGGGGTGGGGGGCGAGCCAAAAGAGTGAGCGAAGCAAGGTGATGAGGAGAAAGGAGAGTCGGGCACTAGCTGGGCTCCACCGCAGAGCCTGGGAGCTGGAGCAGGTCTGGCCGACAGCTGCCAGGAGGCAGGTGCTTCCTAAAGTTAGCCGGCGGCGCGGCGATGTAACAACTCATCCAGCGGGAGACCTTGGGGATCCAGCGGAAGGGCGTGGCAAAGCCCCCTGGAAACCACGCCCTCTGGAAGCCGCAGCCCCCTCCCGACCCACCGCCAGCGCCCCGCCCACAGGACGCCCCATCTAGAGCTCCAGGACCTAGTGACCCCGCTGCCGGCGCCGGGGAGCCTGCCGCAGCCTTGGGCACACTCACATGGACGTGTTCTTGAAGATCGTGCTGTTTCCCTGGCTGTCGGAGAGTTGGATCTTGCAGGGTCCGTAAACAGAGCTCTTGACGGCAAGGAGGAGCAGCACTAGGAAGACCGGGACCCCTGGGGAGTGGGACAGAGGCTCAGAGTCTTGTCAGGAGATCCCCGAGATGAGCTGCTGCAACAGTTCTACTGGGCAAGTAGTGGGGAAGGAAAGAGACTACTCTGAGCCCCCAGGGGCTGTCAGTGTGGTCCAGACTCAAAGGAATTAGCCAGCCTAGTGGTCTTAGAGAAGGCTATCTTCCCAGGTAGTGCAGCGGTTAAGAATCTGTCTGCCAATGCAGGCGACATGGGTTCGATCCCCGGGTCGGGAGGATCCCATCGAGAAGCAAATGGCAACCCACTCTAGTATCCTTGCCTGGGAAATCCCAAGGACAGAGGAGCCTGGTGGGCTATAGGACATGGAGTCGCGAAAGAGTCGGACACAACTGAGCACCCATGCTCGCACGCACGCTTAGAGAAGGCTGATATGAGTGAGGGCTCTAGGGTGGGATTATAGCTGTAGCGGCAGTGGTCCTGCTGGGAGGCTGCGGCTGGGAGGTAATCGGAGAGAGGATTTGGGAACTGGTGAGGAAACATAACAGAGAGGCTAGGGATGCTGATGACAGTGGTACCAGAGATGGTGGTGACCACAAGGATGAGGATGGTGGTCATGATGGAGGGGGAGGCAACAGTGGAGGTGACTGATGATGGTGCGGGAGATGGTAATGAGAATCTTTTCTGGACGTGGAAGTGGTGATAAGAATAGTCATGTAGGAAGTGGTGGTGGGTGTTGGCAGGGATGGTGTCCATGGTGACCATGGTCATGGCAATGGAGGAAAAAGAAAAGCACAGAGGGGACAGACACCCAAGACCTGCGGGAAGCCTCAGGAAGCAAGAGGGCAGGGAGACCGTGCTTACCCCAGCCCACGGCACAGAGCTTGAGCACGTATCGGCGGATGTAGATGTTGTAGACGCGCACGAGTAAGAGGTAGAGGTTGAAGCCTTCAATGGACATCCAGGTGAGGCAGCTGAGCAGCGCGAAGTGCAGGGTAGCGGCCAGCATCACGCATGCTGCCCCGGGCACTGGGGGCGTGGCCAGCACAGGGCTCAGCAGGAAGGCGATGTTGAGGAGCAGCACGGAGGCGTGCAGGTTCATGTGGATGAGTGTTACGGAGTCACTCTGCTTCCTGCGGGTGGGAGCATGGACTTCCGCGACCTGGATGTCACCAGGCAGCGCCGCCCCGTGGGCTCATAGACACAAAATCACCGGGACACAGGTCAAGAGGGGCAGGAACCCAACAGCAGCCACACACAACGAGGCTGGTCTCCTGCCTCCACCCCTCCCCCACCCCGCCTTCTGCCTTCCGGGAAAGCCCACCTGACTCTCGTGGGGCCAAGTAGAAAAGAAGGAGGCATTCTGGGCAGCAGTGGGTGGGCAGGCCCAACATGAGGGCAGGGGAATACCTGGCCTGGAGGTGCAACAAGACAGTGAGCAGCGAGGCCACGATGGAGATGCTGCAACCCACCAGGGAGATGTAGGTGAGAGGCGCCAGCAACTCGGCAGGGATAGGGGCCTGGGAGAGTTGCTGTGGGGGAAAAGGCAGGGGCAGAAGTATGGAAATGCCCTCCCTTGCCTGAATCAAAGACCTGCCAAGATCTCAGCTCCAAGCCCCCGGCCCCTACAATGCCCATCAGCAATCCTGACCTGAAAACAGCCATGGCAGACACAGTGGCTTTTCTGTCTCTCAACTCCCATCTCTCCTTCCTCCCCACCTTCACTCTCTTAGGCACTGGGGTGGAGCCTCCCCTGTTCCTGCTGTGTGCAGTCGGCGCACCAGGCCTGGCCTATCGGAGCCCTCCCTCCTTCTGCCCAGAGTGATTGGTTAAGGGATGGACATGTGACACACTCTAGGCCTATGGGACTCAGTCCCAAGATTTTGGCCGGCAGAATTTGTAAGAAACCTGAAGCCTAGTAGGACGCACAACAGGAAACACTAGCAGCCATATTATTATTCCGTGGGGAGAGTCTATCTGAGAACTAAGCTAGCACAAAGCAAGCACAGCGGAGAGACTGAGATAGGGACATGTCTCGATAATATTGAGTCCCTGGATCAAGCCATGCCTGAAGCCTAATCCAACCTTTTAGGAACATGAACTCATAAGTTTCTTTTTTCTTATCCCCCCTTAAGTCCCTTTGAGTTGGATTTCTGTCCCTTGCACCAACTTTTACCTTTCTGCTCTGTCCTAGGTATGGGGCCCTCTGCAGCTCTGACCACCCTCATCCAGACTGGACGCATACATACCATAAGAACAGCAAAGTAGGTGAGGTGGTTGCAGCGACAGAGCACCTGGGAAGGTGAGGGCCGCTGTGTGTGACAGCCCTCAGGGCTCCAGGCCCCCCAGTAGCTCTCGTTGGCGCTCTCCTTCCAGAAGACACAGGTCACTGTGTAGCCTTCCTAAGGGGAAATGCTGGAGTTGGGTGCATCCAAGGGGTGGAGGGGAAGGCCATGGATCAGGGTCTGGAAATTGTGGGAGCCAAACATGACTCAGCTGCACCCTTGTCAACATTTTACCAGGCACCAGCTGTGCTTTGGCATCAGACAGACCCAGATTCCAGCCCCACTTCCACCATGAACTCTGAGAGAGACCTGGGAAAATCACAGAGGGTCTCTGAGCCTCAGTTTATTCATCTGCAAAATGGGACCATTTATACTCAAGATATGGGCTTCCCAGGTGGTGTTAGTGGCTAATGCAGGAGACATAAAAGATGCAGGTTCAAACCCTGGGTCAGGAAGATCCCCTAGAAGTGAGCATGGCAATCCACTCCAGTATTCTTGCCTGGAAAATCCCACGGACAGAGGAACTTGGCAGGCTACAGTCCATAGAGTCACAAAGAGTCGGACGTGACTGACGCAACTTAGCATGCATACTCAAGTTACGTGGATGGTGGAGTCATCGAAGATGATGAGGAATCTTGAGTACCCAACTCTGGCCAATACGGCAGGTGCTCTTGTGAAATGTGAAACCCAAACGACTCCATTTTAGGATAGCACCACCATTTTGAGTAAAACCCCCTCCCGAGGAGAGAAAACGAAATTTAAAGAGAAAGAAACTCAACGAGCCAATCAGGGGAGGACAGGAAAGTCCCTCCCCCNATCAGGAGAGGACAGGAAGTCCCCCCCCCCCTTACTCTAACCCACCAATCAGTAGCTAACAAGACACCCTTAGTTGAATTAACCAATCCCCTTAAGCTTCCCTTCCCGCGTCCCCTGCTATGCAGTGTAAAAATGATTCGCCGCTTTCTCTGGGTGCTCCTTCGCCGTTGTGTGAGGAGAGTCCCTGCTCGAGCTTGTAATAAAGTTCCTCACTGTTTTTGCATCGATCCGCGGCTCCTGTGGTGTTTCGTGGGATTCCGCGATCCGGGTACAACACTGTATGATCAACTGTCCCATTTCCCCTCCCCATGGGGAACAATGATGGTCTAGACCCATCCCAGTGAGGGAGAGAGTCATCTACAGACAACCCTGATGCCAAGCTGTGTGGTTGGAGAGGTGAGGGAAATGAAACAGGCATGCCATGGAAAGCCGCAGAGAGAGGGGTGGCGGAGTCCTGAGAAGGGAAGGGACACTGGGGGACTGAGGACACATCAGGTTTTCTCTAAGTGGAGCAAGGACATACCAGGTGGAGGGAACTGCAGGGGCTAAAGCTCAAAGAATGAAATGAAATGATGATGATGAAATGAAATGATGATGAAGAAATTGAGAGTGCAGAGCAGTTCTGATGAGACTGAGTGAAGATAGGGCCAGAGTGTAGAAGCTCTGGGCTTTTCAAGAATGCCATCAGGGCTTGCGCCCACCCAGCAGCCTGTCTTCCTTCTTTTGGCATCAACATCTGTACTTTCCTTGAGGACCCAACTCTCTCCCAATGACAGGTCATATAAATCCAGCCCAGTCCCTGGGCCATGTGACCACAGCCTGGCCAGTCCACATGTTCCATCCCCCTGGGAACACAGGGATGGACACATGATCCAACTGGACCTTTAGGATCTGTTATGGGATCCTGATTTGCACTGGCAAGAAAGAGCCCAATGAGAAGAGAGGAAGGAGGTCCATCACTTCAGCTGCCTTCTTGCCACAGGATGGAAAGCCAAGGCAGGAAACCACTGCTGAGAAATGGAGACTGAGCCATTATGGCATCGTATCAGCCCCTGGATCCAGCTGTGCCTGAAGCAGTCCTGGACATTTCATGTACAGGAGGCAATAAATTCCCTTTTCTGTTCAAGCTGGCTTGAGCTGGTTTTCTATCATTTGCGATTCAAAGAATTCTGACCAATGCAGTGACTAAAAAGCTGCTTTCTCATTTCTTTGGCAGGAATTTTCAAAACACTTCAAAATTTAAAGCAGTTTGTTTCTAAGATAGTTCCACAAGGCTGGGTTTGCTCAAACCAATATTCAACAGGATAGCTACAAGAGGGTAGGGATGGGGTGGAAATGGGGGTGCCCCTCAACAATACCAGGCTTTGGTTGTGCCAGAAGCTGATGTTCACTGGTTCACTGAGGTTTCTCACATGTCCATGGCTCAGCTGGGCCCCCAGAACATAGTTATTGAGCAGAGATGAGTTGATGTCTTTCTGGAAGGGCAAGAGAAGAAGGGCTGACTGGAGGGAACACAAGGAGACCCTGGATGAGGTCCAAGAGCCCCCTTCTCCATCCCCTCCTCCCTGGATGAGAACAAGCAGCATGGCTTTCATGGGCACAGCTGTGCCAACCTCCTAGGCTTTGCACATGCTGCCCCTTCCAGCTGGAGCCCTGTCTCCTCATCACCTCCACCCTCACCTCCCATTTGTTAAATGGATTCCAGCCTTGTACCCTCCACCTCACCCTACCCCAACTCACTTTCAAAGTCAAGCTTAAAAGGCACCTCCTCTGCAAGCCCTCCTGGATTGCTCTTTGGGAACCATCCTGACCCCAGCCTGACTCATTCATCTCTTTGAATCTCTATGATTATACTTAGCCTTGAGCTAAAATTGTCTAATTGTTGAAATGGTGAGTTCTCTGAGGACAAAGATCTTGTGACCTTGTCTGCCTCCCGTTTAGGGACAGGAGCACACACAGCAGATTTCTTAAGTCTCGTTTGCACATTATAATGGTGGCTGCCTACTATTCTGCTCAAACGGAGGTCCAGAGAGGGGCGCTGACTGGCTGAGGTTGCACAGCAGGCCAGGAGGAGACATGGATGCCTGCAATGCCCCCAGGAAGAGGCCAGCACCCACCCTGCATGGCCCACCAGCAGGGGCTGACCTGGAAAAAGCTGCTGCTGGAGAAGTAGATACAAATGAGACGAAGCTCCCCAGAGCGGGTCCTGCAGGCATTCCGGGTCAGCTCGGCCGGGAACTGCATGGCGTGTTGAGGCTTGGCCTGCAGAAGGCCAGAGACAGGCTGGGCCCCGTGTCCACAGTCCTCCAGACCCACCACAACACTTCACCATTCCCCACTCCCCTGGGAGCCCTCCCAGCCTTGCCCCCAAGCACTTCCTATCTTGGAGCCTCCACCCACAGAACCCTCTCCTGACAGGCTGCACCTCCACCCAAACTTCCCAAGATCCTAGGCCTTCAACATCAGCACCCAACAGCCAGGCATTAAGCAGGAATCACACCAGGGCCCTCAAAGGGGTCCAGTGCCCCTGGCCTCTCCCGGGGCTACCTCACCCCTCCTGCTGCTGCTGCTGCTGCTGCTAAGTCGCTTCAGTTGTGTCCGACTCTGTGCAACCCCATAGAAGGCAGCCCACCAGGCTCCCCCGTCCCTGGGATTCTCCAGGCGAGAATACTGGAGTGGGTTGCCATTTCCTTCTCCAGTGCATGAAAGTGAGAAGTGAAAGTGAAGTCACTCAGTCGTGTCCGACTCTTAACGACCTCATGGACTGCAGCCTACTAGGCTCCTCCGTCCATGGGATTTTCCAGGCAAGAGTACTGGAGTGGGGTGCCATTGCCTTCTCCGAGTACCTCACCCCAGGAACCTGCAAAAGCAGGAAATCAACCCTGAATATTCATTGGAAGGACTGATGCTGAAGCTGAAGCTCCAGTACTCTCGCCACCTGGTGTGAAGAACTGATTCATTGGAAAAGACCCTGATGCTGGGAAAGCTTGAAGGCAGGAAGAGAAGGGGACGACAGAGGACGAGATGGTTGGATGGCATCACTGACTCAGGGGACATGAGTTTGAGCAAACTCCGGGAGACAGTGAAGGACAGGAAAGCCTGGCGTCCTGCAGTCCACGGGGTCACAAAGAGTTGGACACGACTGGACGACTGAAAAACAACTCACAGCTATTAAGGCAGAGTCCAGAGCCCAGACTGGTGGGAAGGCGGGTGATGGACCCTGGGGAAATCCAGACCTTCAACCCCTGGAGCATTTCCGGGGTAGAGTTTCTGGGTACCCTCAATCCCTGGGCATCTCTGACCTGGGGGACATTCTCCAGAATGGCACTGCTGAGAGAGAGGCCAGCGAAGTTGCAGTTCAGCTTGAAGGCCAGTGCCTGGATGGTGTGCGTCTGCAAGGTGAGGTTGTGGCCAGTGAAGCTGGCATTGAGCAGCTTCGACTCTAGGCCGTGAACGAGGCTGAAGGTGAGAGAGACAGCCAGAGCCCCGGGATAAGGATGGAGGCAGGAGGAACCCTCCACAGCCTCCCCAATCCCACACCCCTGTCACTCCCACCTCCAAACGTCTGCACACACAGTGTTCCTGGCACACCCTTACCTCCCCACCCCACCCATCTCCTTCTCCCATTAACTCTTGCTTGGGTCCCAGTTTATTGGCACCTCCTCCAGGAAGTCTTGCCTGGCTGCTCCCCACTGGCTAAAGTGCCCCCCAGTCCCTACACTTCTCTGTTAAGTCATCAGCATTGGCCTGTCACTCTGAGCATCTAGGGTTTTTAGCCCGAGACCTGGGAGAGCCCAGACCACTCTTGGAGCCCCTTCCCAGAAAAATGCACAGAGACCCATGATTCTGCACTGGTTTCATGGCACCCACGGCTAAGGGCCCCCAACCAGACAGCAAACTCAATGAGAACAGGGGTGCGTCCATCCCACATCTCCAGAGCGTGGTGCCGGGCACACGATAGGCACTCAGTAAATAAGTGTTGAATAAATGAATGAGCAGTCTACACTGGAGAGACCCTGGGCCACCGAGTCAAAATACAGGCTGGGGGTGGAGGCACAGCAGACTCTGGGCAGGCGAGGAGGGCCGCCCGACTCACTCAGCATGAGATGCGCTGCTCCTGCCCCTGGTTACCGCCTCCATTCTCTCCATCCAGTTCAGGGTCGTCCGGGACGCCTCTGCGAGGAGCGAATCCAACAACCACCTCAGCCTCTGTCCGCAGCTGTCCCCTGCACCTTCCCCTACCCCCTGGCCATCCCATGGCCTCGGGCTCTTCTGCCCCAGGCTGCTGCCCCAGGGCGGAAGGGCCCTCTTTTCAACCTCCCTTGGTTTGAGGCCACCCCCGCTTCACATCAAAGTCAGGGGTCCGGGCTGGGATGGCTCTTGCAGCTCAGGGAAGCCCTCTTACCTGCCGTCCTGCTCTGAGACGCCAAGACGCACAGGCAGAGGAAAGCGGCCCAGCAGCAATCCATGTCGTGTATCAATTCTCCTCCAGGAACTGGCTCCCACCCTGGAAAATGTGCATGCCTCTGGGAAGGCATCTGGCCTGTCCCTAGATTAATAGGGCAGCATCTTACCTGATCCTCACACTCCTGCATTCCACAGACGCGGAAACCACAGCTCACAGAGCAAGGGGCTTGCTTCGAGTGAGGCTGCCTGAAGCCAGATCTCCCTGAAACCCGAATCCTGGACCATTTTTACCAAACCCTGCCATTTGCAGCTCTGTCTGAGTCACTCCCTCCTCCCCAAAAATGGTCTCTCTGGGGGCCTCCCCAGAATTCTGACCTCACCAATGGGAAAGTTGGGAGTTGCTTGTCATTAACCCTGTCCAGCCCTGTCATTCACCCACCGTGTGACTTTGAGCAAGAATCTGTCCCTCTCTGATGAAACTGCCAGCAGCAGCTGCTGTGGGGAATTGGAAAGTTAGAAGGGAAAAAACAAGAATGAATAGTTTTGGGAGAAGGATAGTTTTGATGATAATCATGGATGGTCAGAGGCCACCAAGAACCATGACAGCTAGAAGACAATAGGAAAACCACTGCCTTTGTCCACAAAGAATTCCCCCAATGCCCATTTTAAAGTAGAATGTGATTCAAACATATTGTTAAGTACTATAGTCAACATTTGCTTTGAAACCTCATCTTCTTTTCACCTATTTTTGTGACTGCCAGAAACCACAGCAGCTGCTGGTTATGAATTAAGATGTCAGGCTCAAATTTGTGAAAATGAATCCAATGATTTGTTTTTTTTTAAAAGGATCCTGCCCCTTTCTGCTGTAAGCTCCCTTGGTTTTAAAATGAACGGACCAATTTCTGCTTAAACATAGCAAATTTATGTCTCCCCCTGAAACTCCACTAAAAAGAGACTGAATGGGACATCCCTGGTGGTCCAGTGGTTGAGACTCTGTGCTTCCAATGCAGGGGACATGAGTTCAATCCCTGGTTGGGAACTAAGATCCCACATGTTGTATAGTGAGGCCAAACATTTTTTTTTTAATTAAGAAAAAAGAAATTTCTAAAAACTAAAAAAATAAAATGAGAATGAATGAATAAAACAGACACAAAGCCACAAAAGACAGAACAATGGGAAAGAAGACAACAGCAGATGAGAAATATCAGTAAAACTTGGGCGGTTTCAAAGCAGGTGGCCACCTGGTTTTAAAAAAATAAAAGCAGACCATGACATGTTGAACCCGAGTGCTTGCGTCAGGGAGAAGTGAGTACAGGGGGTGTGGGATCAGTGAGGGGCAGGGAGAAGGCAGAGAGGTCAAGCCTTACAACCATGGGGACACTTAGGAACTAGAGGCTTTGGAACCTCTGAAGGCAGGATGGAAGGTGAGGCTGAAAATGGGGGGCGGTGGGTTTGTTGTTGTGGATCTTTAAAATGACCGGCTGAGTCTCCATACCTCCTCTGAGACCAGAAACACCCAAGAGCCTTCCTCACCACCCTCCCCTCCCCAACCCTGTCACAGCTCAAAGTCCATTCTGGGGAGACAGTGCACCAGAGAGAAGTGGGAGGGTCCCATCTGTGGGTGCCATTCTGGTACAGCAAAGTGAAGCCATGTCCCCTCTCCACCGCCTCCTCCAGTCAGCTTCCGGAAGACTGCAGCAGCCAGACAATGGTGCTCCAAGGCAGGAGAAAACTTTTCTCTGAAGAACCAGTCATGCCAAGAAAATTATCCTCTAGTTACTGACATTTTGGTGCTCCTTAATAAAGTGGCCAAGACCAAACTTAAGGTGAAGCTTCACCAGTCACCAAGCCCTACCAGGCAATTAAGTTTTTCATGCTCAACCAAGGATCCCTAGGTATTTTTAAATATACACCTTTCTCAGGAAGCTGCTGGAGGATGTGCTCCAACAAAATGAGAGAGTAAATCATGAAAGAACATATAGGGTACTGTAAAACCACCAGGAGAGACGTGAAGCTACTCCCCAGAAAATGCATGAAGAGAAGGCCCAGGCTGATGGCTGGACGGCTGGCCTAGGGCACATCCTGTCCAGAAGGAAGCAGAAGACAGTAAGTTTCCAGGAGGGAGGTCTCAATGTGTAAAAGAAAGAGGCGAATATACAGATTGTCTGACAGGTCTGAATACATAGGAAAATTATTTTGAGAAATGTCTTACAGAAAGCTTGCAAATGAAAAATAAAAAAGAAGCAATTAACTTCAGGAAAACCAAGTTGTACAGGAAAGGAAACGTAATCTTGCTACACAAATTGACATAAAGTATAAGATGTTTAAAGCATTATAAAAACATTTTTTTTCTTTTTTTGGCTGTGTCACTCTGCATGCTGGATCTTAGTTCCCTGACCAGGGATTGAACCCCAGGCCCTGGCAGGGAAAATGCCAAGTCTTAAACACTGAACTGCCAGGGAATTCCCTATATTTTTAAAATTGTGTAAAAACCATATAAAAAATGATTTTGACATCCATTTATGATGTAGAGAGCCACAAGAGAACATCACTCCCAACTTGACAGTGGAAAAAGCCAAATGATGTACAAAACTGGTTTTTTGAGCCTGTTAGAGAACTGAAGTTACAAAACAAACAGATAAACTGGTTTCCAATGGTTGATAAGCCCTTCAAGGATGAGGTGTGGTTGCCAAAAAAGCAGATGAGAACAACTGATACCGTAATGGTTTCTTTTTAAGCTTTTTACTTTACATTGCAGTATCGCCAATAACAGTGTTGTGATAGATTCAGGTGGACAGCAAAGGGACTTAGCTATACACATACATGTATCCATTCTCCCCTAAACTTCCCTCCCATCCAGGCTGCCACATAACACTGTATAGTGTTATGTGCTATACAGTAGGTCCTTACTGGCTATCCATTTTACTTTTTTAATCACTCAGAAACATTGTTTAATAATATTCTTATCAAAATAAAACTTACAGAAAAGTTCACAAACCATGCATCTTGGTGAATTGTCACTTGGGTTTCCTGGTGGCTCAGGCAGTAAAGAATCTGCCTGCAATGCAGGAAACCTAGGCTCGGTCTTTGGGTCAGGAAGATCCTCTGGAGAAGGGAAGGGCGACCCACTCCAGTATTCTCGCCTAGAGAATTTCATGGACAGAGGAGGAGCCTGGCGGGCTACAGTCCATGGGGTTGCAAAAAGTTGGACACGATTGAGCAGTTAACACACTTTATCCATTTCAAACAAATACAGCAGTGTGTACGTGTCCATCTCAAACTCCCTAACTAGCCCTTCGCCCCTTCCTTCCCCCCTGGTAACCACAAGTTTGTTCCCTAACCTGTGAGTCTGTTTCTGGTTTGTAAGTAAGTTCATTTGTATAATTTCTTTTTAGATTCTGAATATAAGGGATATCATGTGATCTTAGTGGATTGTTAAAGGCTGAGAATGAATGAGAATGAGAGTTTAAAACCCCTGAGAGCCCCAGACACAAGGGGAGTCTGTATCCACTTGACCATTTCTCCCCCAGTCCTCTGCTGGTGCTCATGAGAATGGCTGGGGGTGGGGCAGGGATCTGAGAGACCCCCTGTGGTGACACGGGCATGCTGAGGTCTGAGGGTGAAGCCCGGATGAGCTCCAGGCCATGTGTGAATACGCGATGGTGACTGGCTGCTGCGAGAGACCGACATCTGCGCCCTGGCCTTGCCGTGATGAGACCCTCATCCATAGGTCCCTGACTTGTTATAAGGAAAAGATCTACTGCCTCTAACGGAGCAGTGAAAAAAAAAAAAAAANGATGAGACCCTCATCCATAGGTCCCTGACTTGTTATAAGGAAAAGATCTACTGCCTCTAACGGAGCAGTGAAAAAAAAAAAAAAAACCAACAAGAGACTTCTCTGGTGGTTCAGTGGTTAAGACTCCACACTTTCAATGCAGGGGGCACAAGTTTGACCCCTGGTCAGGAAACTAAGATTCCACATGCAGCACGGTGTAGCCAAATAAAACCCACCTACCCCAGACCCTGCACTGACGCTAAGCGAAAGCTACCTGCTGCTGGCGTGGAGGGGCCAAACCCACTAGAGCCCAGGATTTTGCACTGTTATAAAACAAGGGACTGCTGCTGCTGCGAGAAAGGCAGGAATTTCATTCACACCTAAGACCCCTCCACCAATACATGGCAGGGTTTGGGCTCCATGAGGGTGAAGGAAAAGTCAGTAAGAGGCAGAAGTTGCCAGTCACTGAACAAGAAACAGGAAAGCTAAGAAAGCCCCAGTCATGGGGCTCAGGCACAAGGCTACCTAAGACTGAAACTCAGAGCAAGAGAACCAGAAATCTACTGCTTCCATCAAAAAGTTTGCACCAAGTAATCAGCAACAGCTGTCTACAGAACACAAAGAAAGATTCCCTCTGTGTTGCATGCATGCAAGGATGAGAGTAGGATTACTGAGAAAATCCACGTGGGACTCAAGGGCTCACACTAAGCACAGAGTAATGTCCGTCCATCACTGGAGAAATGTGATGCTTGTGCTGCAGAGAAGGTACCTGCAACAACAAAACTGTAGCCCAAGTCGACCACAGACTAGACTGACTCAATTAATGCCCTCTCCTTAAGCCATGACATAAGAAAGACGCCCACTTCTAGGCATCAGTATCACTACTGTGCTTTCACACAATGCCTTGGTATTCAGTCAAAGCTTACAACACACACATAAAATCAAGAAAAAAGAAAATACTTTTGTCAAAAGATAAAAGAGACAAGAGAAGTAGAGTCAGAGATGACCAAAATGTTAAAACTATCAGATAGGGACTTAAAGATACATGAGTATGGGAAAGCAGGTGGTGGAAAGGTATGCTCCTAAGGACAGACAGGATATTTCAGGAGAGCAATGGAAACTATTAAGGAGAGTCAGGTAGAAATAAATACTCAATATCATTGATAAAGAATTTCTTCAATTGTGGAGTGAAAAAAAGTGTAAGTGTTAGTTGCTCAGTTGTGTCCAACTCTTTGTGACCTCATGGACTGTAGCCTGCCAGGCTCCTCTGTCCATGGAATTCTCCAGGCAAGAATTCTGGAGTGGACTTCCATTCCCTTTTGTAGGGGGTCTTCCCGAGCCAGGGATGGAACCCAGGTCTCCTGCATTACAGGAAGATTCTTCAATGGCATCTGAGCCATTGAAGGCCTATTTATCAGCAAACCAGACACAGCAAAGTAATCAGTGAATTTGAAGATAGGACAATATAAATAATCGGAATTGAAACACAAAGAGTAAGAAAAGTCAAACTAAAACTCAAAATGGTAAGGCAAGAGCAGATGGTCTAATAAACATGTGATTTGAGTCCCAAAAGGAAGAGAAAGAACATAGAAGAAATATTTGAAGAGATAATGGCTGAATTTTTTTCCAAAATTAGTGAAAGACAACACACTACAGATTTAAAAAGCTCTATAAAACTGAGCAGAATAAATATAAAGAAACCACACCTAGACACATCATAGTCAAACTGATGCAAAACCCAAGATGAAAAAAATCTTGAAGGCAGAGAGAAAAAGAAACAATAGATATGGGAGATAAGAAATAAGAACTACAAGAGACTTCTCTCAATTATACAAACCAGAAGATAACACAACTAGATATTTCAAGAAAAATGTGTCAACCTAGAATTTGATGTCCAGTGGAAATATCTTTCAGAAATGAAGACCAAATAAAGACTATTTCAGATGAGCAATGGCTTAAAAAATTTATTTCCAGCGGCCGTGCTATGCTTAGTCGCTCAGTCGTGTCCGACTCTTTGCAACCCCATGGACTGTAGCCCAGCAGCCTCCTCTGTCCATGGGAATTCTCCAGGCAAGAGTACTGGACTGGAATGCCACGCCCTCCTCCAGTGGATGCCCAACCCAGGGATCAAATTCAGGTCTCCTGCATGGCGGGTGGATTCTTTATCATCTGAGCCACAAGGGAAGCTCAGGAAACTGGAGTTGGTAGCCTCTCC